TGTGCAATCACTTGTGGGCCCAGTTTAAAGGAATAAAACTTATTCCCAAGTAAAAAGCTCCAGAATTGGACAATCCACCAAATAAGCTGTTCATACTGAAGCCTCTATTCCAGACTTCTCCAGAGAGGTGCAGAAAATAAAATAAACATGGGATATGACAAAAACTGGTGTTTATTTATCCAGTATAAAATAATAGAATATAAATAGTTTAGCTTTAATTTAACAACAATATGATAAAAGCAAGTTTCCATAAGGTTGGTCGCTGTTCAACATTTTTTTAAAAACATGTGTCTGTTGCACTCTTGGCATGTTTTACATTCTGAGTGCAAAAGCAGAACAAATTCCATAGGAATCATATACATGTATCATTTCAAATCTCACTACGCATCATCTCATACCAGCAAGCAAGCAAAAACCTCTTACATAAATGTCAGACACATACAGCAGCTTTATAAAAGCTTAGATAGCCATAAAAAAACAGAACTCCGTCTTTCAGATGGCTGGTACCTTTACAACTGTTTTTTTCTGCCAAACAATTATAGGTAAAGTTATAAATATTTCATAAATACAGTAATAGAAAAAAGTGCAATATAATTGTCTTCAGGGTTTGTTTTTTTCACTCCGGAATGTCCCAATATTGTCTCTAGCAGGTGATGGATGGCTGAAGTTACTCCTTGGGGGTCTTTGCAGGTACTCCATCTCCGCTGACAGCATGGCTCAATGTTCCAAAGAGCCGGTCCCAATGCGTGAAATAAGGTGCATAGTTGAATTTGAATTTCAAGTGATGGAGATCATGGTGTGGTGCTCCTCCGTACAGACCCCAAGGCACCAGCTTGTGGGTTGACCATGGGAGGTCATAGCCGGAATGATCCTCCACTGACAGCCAGATGTTGGTGACGAAGAAAGTCATTTCTGTCAAAGGATGACACTTGAGCAGCACTGGACTCACTGCCGCAAAGAACCCCAACCACAGCAACTCCCAAATGCTCGCATACTGGGTGGAAAGAGCAAAGGTAGAGACGTGCTTGTGGTGGACCTTGTGGAAGTTCTTGTAGAGCCACGGCACTTTGTGATGGAGCAAATGCCACAGGAAGTAGAAGAAGTCAAAAAGCAGCAGGCAAATGATTACATCCAAGAAGAGTTTGGACAACTCTGGAGCCAGTGCCGGCAAGCTGACTGGTCTCCAGTACCAATGGGCAACAGTCACCGGGAAGATGCAGACAATGTGGTGATAGATGGTTTGTGCCACACAGAGCACCATCATTCCCAGCGTAGGTGACGTCTGCGGCTGGATTTTGTATTTCTTCAATGCCGGCACTCGGGTGCAGAAGAAGTCCAAGGCCACAAAAGGCAAGCAGAAGGCTGCGTACAGTGTAAAGCTGAACAGGACTGGAAAGAACGGCGATTTGATCAACGCCTCCTGTGTCCTGACAAAGTCCCAAAGAGGCTGCAAAGCCAGCATGCTTTGCCTGTCACTCGCTCCATCAGAGTGGAGCAGCACGCTTCTGTTCTGTAGGCTGCAGCTCATGTTGACTTTCACTGTTGCTGCCGCGGCCTGCTGGCTTGACTGGCTGGCTGCTGCTCTTGCAACGCCTTTTATTGCTTTGCCTCCTCCTTGAAACCACGACGTCACACCAAAAATTCCCGCAAGCAATCTGTTCAGTTTCCTTTTCCCTTGCACACAGATACAAAAGGGGAGGGGAAAAAGGAAAGGGGGAAAAAGCATGTGAGGAATTTCCCTGTTCGGTTTTCCAGATGTTTGTCACTACTTAAGCTGCCCTTAGCTGAGAACTTCATAATTATAACCTATTGCACTTTTAAATAGTCTCGGCAGGAACCCTTTACACCTGAAATGCAAAGGCACAGCAAAGTAAAGATCATAGCCATAGGTTCTCAACCAAATGTTAAAAACGAAATCTTTCTAGGGCAGCTTTTTCCAACTCAACAGCCTCCCCTACAATACTAGAGTACAGTTCTCAACATCTGGGGATAAATAATAATTTTTTTTTTTGTCGTGTCAGGAGTGACTTGTGAAACTGCAAGTTGCTTCTGGTGTGAGAGAATTGGCCGTCTGCAAGGACGTTGCCCAGGGGATGCCCGGATGATTTGATGTTTTTATCATCCTTGTGGGAGGCTTTTCTCATGTCCCTGCATGAGGAGCTGGAGCTGACAGAGGGAGCTCATCCGCCTCCCCCTGCGACCTGTCAGTCTTCAGTCCTGCTGGCACAAGGGTTTAACCCACTGCACCACCGGGGGCTCCACATTCCATTAGCTGATAATTTGTGAACCCTAATAATAATAATAAATGGCACAAGGCAATAAGGTCCCAGTGGTGATCGGCACACTGGGTGCAGTGCCTAAAGACATTGGCCTGCACTTAAACACAATTGGCGCTGACAAAATTACCATCTACCAGCTGCAAAAGGCCACCTTACTGGGATCTGCATGCATTATTCGCTGATACATCACACAGTCCTAAACATTTGGGAAGTGTCCAACGTGTGATCCAACACAACAGCCAGCAGAGTGATCTTGTCTACTGTGGACTCATCTTGTTGTGTTTCTAATTATTATTATTATTATTATTATTATTATTATTATTATTATTGTGCAGCTTTCTGGCATTGTATATTTCTGCCGCTTCTGTGTTCATTGTTCATTTGTATTTTGATTCTGTAGCCCACTTGTCGATGGATGTCCAGAATCAGCAGCATCCACCGCGGTCCTTTTTATCCTGGGCGTTGACCGAGCCAGTATAGACTTCATTTTGGTTTGCTTCTCCATAATGCTAATTGGTTAGGTGCTCTTAGTTCTACTCCTCAGCTGAGACCTCTCTGGCTCGGTTGGACCTGCTGGTAGTTACACTTCTGCCAGCACAGCTCTCAGCGTCCTTGGAGCAGTTAAGCCCCCCACCACGACAAGGTGGCACACATCAGGGGTGCTGTGCCAAAAGATCTGGCATTTGGAAACAATAAACATTTACAAAATCATGATCGGTCAATTGCAAAAGGCCACCTTACTTGGATCTGTGCGCATCATTTGAAAATACATCACACAGTCCTAAACACTTGGGAAGTGTTCAACGTGTGATCTTGTGATACAAAATCCAGCATATAGATCTTGTTTGCTGTGACATACTGTGCTTTGTGATAATAATAATAAACCAGTCAAGGTGGTCCCAGTGGTGATCGGCACACTGGGTGCAGTGCCTAAAGACCTTGGCTTGTACTTAAATACAATAGGTGCTGACAAAATTACCATCTGCCAGCTGCAAAAGGCCACCTTACTGGGATCTGCACGCATTATTCGCTGATACATCACACAGTGCTAGACACTTGGGAAGTGTTTGACTTGTGATCTTGTGATACAAAATCCAGCATATAGATCTCGTTTGCTGTGACATACTGTGCTTTGTGATAATAATAATAAACCAGTCAAGGTGGTCCCAGTGGTGATCGGAAAGTGTCCGACGTGTGATCCAATACAACAGCCAGCAGAGTGTCTAGTTGTGTGTCAGCATCTAGTTGTGTTTCGAAATATGATGTATATACTCAGCTTGATTGTTATACTGTATTGTTATAAGTGTCTTATTTTAACTTACTACGTGGAGTGTGATCGGGTCTTGTCAGGCCTTGTTGTTCTGTTTCTTATTGTGATATGGCCTAAGGGCTAATCAATAAAAAAATACTTAAATAATAATAATAATAATTTTTGTTGTCTCAGAAACAACTTGAGAGACTGCAAGTTGCTTCTGGTGTGAGAGAATTGGCTGTCTGCAAGAACGTTGCCCAGGGGACGTCCAGATGTTTTGATGTGTTTCCATCCTTGTTGGAGGTTTCTCTCATGTCTCCATATAAGGAGCTGGAGCTGATAAAGGGATCTCATCCACTCTCCCCAGATTCAAACTTGCGACCTGTCAGTCTTCAGTCCTGCCGGCACAGGGGTTTAACCTACTGCACCACTGGGGGCTCCTTAATTAAAATAATAATAACAACAATAATAAGACTTTATTTATATGCTGCTCTATCTTCCCTAAAGGACTCAGGGCTGTTTCCAACATATATGGCAAACATTTAATGCCAATGAGAAGACATATAAACAAATTACATCAAAATAAAACACACCAAACAATATAGAACAGCCTAACTAAACTTAATAACAGACATAAATTAACCAGCAAATAGACTTAAATAACCCAAACAAACACAGTCATATAATATAAATATCTCACTCGACAAAAATCTGAAGCTAACAACTAATGGGAACTGTGTTCCAAATCCAGGAAATTTGGGCTTTCATAGATTAGTGTTTATAGACTAAACACTATGTGCATGTGGATGTGGGTATGTGTGTGTATGTGTGTGTGTGTGTAAATCCAAACTTGTGAAAATCAGGAATTATCTTCTTTACAGAAGATTTCAAGCACAATTTCTGTGGATGAGAAGTTCAGGCCTCTTCTACACTATCATATAACATCCAGATTATCTGCTTTGAATTGGATTATATGGTAGTGTAGAACCATATAATCCAGTTCAAAGCAGATAATGTGGATTATCTGCTTCTATAATCTGGATTGTATGGTAGTGTAGAAGGGGTCTCAGCTGTGATGTCAGTTCAGTATTACAGATGGATTCCTGGTGCAATTTACAGTTTTTGTCCTAGTCTTTAGAATTTTTAACATAACATGGAGATGCCAGGAGCTTCTGTCATAGTGGCATTTTTATATCTCAAACCTTAATTTGTCCACATTATTAAAAGAGTGAAAATCCACCACACTAGAAAGATAGAGATGGGTTTTTAGAATGTTTTGGAATGTCAGAAAGGGGGCAACTGGCTTCATTTAGCAACAGACAGTGATGGATACCATCTGTTCTGCAAAAATAGAGCAGTTTGACACCACTTTAACAGCCATAGCTCCATCCAATGTAATCCTAGGAACTGTAATTTATTGTGGCACCAGCACTCTCTGACGGAGAAGGGCAAACCTCTCACCAAACTAAAAATCCCAGAATTCCATATCCCAGGCAGTTAATGTGGTGTCAAACTACTGTAAATCTGCAGTATGGATGCAGCCATAGGCGAATCGGAATGGTTTTGGATCACTGTTACCTTGTCACTCATTCACCAAGGTCATTGTAGGAGGGAAATTAGTCCTTTTTTTAAAAAAGCAAGAAAGCAGTAATAAGGTGGAAAGCTGGTTGTGAATTCCTGCATCTTAATATTATGCTGTATTATGACCATCCCTGGGGCCAAGATTTTCAGAAACTATTATATCCTCCCATATTATAATACTGAGACATATTCCCTAACCTGTGGTCAACAGAAGCAGTGGTGCAACAGGTTAAACCGTTGAACTGTTGAATCTGCTGACCTAAAGGTTGGCAGTTTGAAGCTCCTCCTGTTAGCCCTAGCTCCTGCCAACCTAGCAGTTTGAAAACATGCATAGGTTTTTAAATCCTTGTATGTTATTGCTTATTGTTTATTGTTTATATGTGAATTATATTAATTGTATTGTATTGTTTTTTGTTTATTGCTTTCTTGTTTTATTGATGTGTTGTTGGGCTTGGCCTCATGTAAGCCACTCCGAGTCCCTTGGGGAGATGGTAGGTAAAGGTAAAGGTTGTCCCCTGACATTAAGTCCAGTCATGTCTGACTCTGGGGTGTGGTGCTCATCTCCATTTCTAAGCCGAAAAGCCGGCGTTGTCCATAGACACCTCCAAGGTCATGTGGCCGGCATGACTGCATGGAGCGCCTTAATTTCCGCCGGAGCGGTACCTATTGATCTACTCACATTTGCATGTTTTCAAACTGCTAGGTTGGCAGAAGCTAGGGCTGACAGCGGAAGCTCACGCCGCTCCCCGGAATCGAACCTGCGACCTTTCGATCAACAAGCTCAGCAGCTCAGTGCTTTAACCCACTGCGCCACTGGGGGCTCCCTTGGGGAGATGGTGGCAGGGTATAAATAAAGGATTCAAACGGAGAGGCGATGGTTTTAATTCCCGGCCTCTTTCAGCACAGATATTATTATTATTATGTTTTTAGATCAATAGGTACTGCTTCGGCGGGAAGATAATAAACGTGGCCATGCATCCATGCTGGCAACACGACCAGGAAGTGCCTATGGACAACAGGCTCCTTGGCTTGGAAATTTACTTTTCATCTATTACTACGTGAACAGGGCAGTGCTAACCTGGGACTTCCATATGGCTTGTTTGGCCAGATTTTACTTGCATTCTAGGCATACCATTCAGTGTAAATTGCTCCATAGTGTTAGCAGACCGTATTCAGTTTTTCACTTTTAAAAATAGTCTCCAGATTTTGCCAAAGGCAAAACAGAGACCAAGCTCTTGTCCGTTTTCCAAGAAATTACTCTTTTATTGTTTTTCAGTGTATTTAGTCACTGTGTGAATGTTCACAACTAGGGATGGCTCCACACTGTAGAATTAATGCAGTATGATAACCTTCTTATGGCTCAATGCTGTGGAATCATGGGAGATGTAGTTCGGTGAAGCACCAGCACTCTTTGGCAAAGGAAGCTAAAGAGTTTGTAAAACTAATGCTCTCATGATTCCATAATATTCA